AGGTGGAGGAACTTGCATATTGTTATATAGTCCCAAAGCTTGTAAAAATACAATCTTTTTATATTTAGCAATATCTACTAAATTGTAATGGGCTGTAACTATAGACTATAGTTCTCAAATAGAGACAAAGATGCCACTGATTCTGTAGTATTGTTCTTCTAAAATGCAGAAAAGAAGTTTATCCTCCTCCTGCTGAGGATCTGATCACATTTTAGAACGGTTTCTCTTGTAGCATGCCTGATTTCTCTTCTAATTCCTCTACCTTGTCTTTCCCAGTGCCATTTCCCTTGAGATGTAACAGTTCAGATGCATGTAAAAATATGTCACCCATACCTTTGATTGAATTATATTTCTGTATTGTTTATGAACTTGCTATGCATTTGCAATCATTATTAATAAATCAATGTGCTTTTGTCTTCTGTCACAAAGTAATGCATGTATTCAAAAAGAATTGTATGCAAAACAAGTCATGTTTTAGAACTCATATCATTAATAATTATCAGTTTGCAGTATTGTTACAACACGTTTTGAGGGAAGCTTATTATAAAAGAAATAACAAGGCACTGCACGGTAGCAAGAATAAGACAGTTCAGCTGATCACTGGTATAGGTGCTATAAATATGCCAGTCTGTACTATAGTGTTTTATTAAGTCTCCGAAAGTCAAAGCTGATTTGAAATAATAATGTCTGACAGTCAGTGCTTTGAAGTTTTGCTGCTGCACTCTCACATTTAGGCTTTCTTTTATGTATGACTTTACCATAAAAAACAAAAACACACACACGGCGTGAACGCTTTTTTTCCCCCCCATATCTGTATTTCAAAGAAAGTAATAGGAGGCTACTTCAGTGAATTAGAAGGAAAAAAAAAGGAACAACCCCCCAAAATCGATGAGGATAGGTACGGGCCACTGTAAGGTCATACAGTATTCATGTAAGCTATAGCTGGGGTTGGTAACTTGTTGAAGACTGTAAAAGTGAAATTAAAAGAAAAAAAGGGAAGAATAAGGAGGGGACAAGAGGCAAAAGCTATCCTTGATAGGAACAAGATGACTTTCATTCAGTCGGAAGAACTTGACTGCTTGGCTGTGATAGCTAACACACTCGTTCTTCATCACCGGTTGTGCAACAAAGAGCTGGATTCCATCCATTCCATGACTGATTGATTACCCAATGGACAAATGTTAATTCTTTTCATCGAAGCTTTGTCATTGTGGAGAGATCCTTTTCATCTAACACCTAGGGTTTTTTTTGCCTCAGCTTTTTTTTTTTTTTCTGCTTATTTACCTTTTAACATTCTCTTCTCATTCACCTTTGCAAAACTGTCATGTCTAACAAGATTCTCACAGTACTTTAAACTCCTTTAGTCTACAATTAAAATTGCTAACAAAGTATGTAATAAACCGTGATATTAAATAATACTGAATGATTTCATTTAGTCATCTCAGTCTAATTATACGTAACCTGTTTGCTGTCCTTGAAAGAAAATTTTTCCTAGTTCACAAGAGAAGGCTATAAAGGATGAGAAGCTGTGTTGTTAATATAATAAATTGCTCCAGTGCAACTGCGTAAGTTTGATCTTACATGTGTCAGTACAAAATACACTACTTTGCGGCATAAGCCCAACTGCGGTTTCTAAAGTCAGCGAGAAGAGCTCAAAATTTATAAATGCTAGTTTCTTTCTTTGCTTCTTTTATAATTGTCTTTTATAATTCTTTTGTAATTGTCTTTAACAACAATACCCCTTAATTTGAAAATGTCAGGATCCATAAGGTTTTGGAACGGTGCTGAAGCAGAGCCTCAGTGCAGGGAGAATGATGCAGTGCAGATGTGAATTCAGGCTTCTTCAATGTTCAGTGCTGGATTCTGAGTCGATGTTTTGTTTCTATAATGAATCAAATCAGCAAATGAATCAATATGAATGAAGACATTTTACTGATGTCAGAAGATATCTTTGTAGATTTTATATTTATGTAAAAATTAATTTTCAGTACAGAAAGAAGAAAAAATCCCTTTCTGATTCACAGCCCTTTTCAAAATGTGTGTTTGTGAACACAGAACGCAGAACTTGGAGACATGCCTTTCAAGTAAAAGCCTTTATATGTAATTTTGTGTCTAATGTGGAGGACCTCCAGAGAGCTTTAACATATATCATTATTTGAAATTGTAAAAATTATGCAGATTAAACATGCTAATTGAAAATTTACAGGAATTTCAAAAGAGGTATTTCTATAATATTATAAGAAAAGTTTATTAAAACGCTCATTGTGTGTTTTTGTAATCTTCCCAATAACAAAATACCGTAGCTATAAATTGTTTGGTCAGATCTATAACATAGACTTTGAATGAAATAGGGGTGTTTGAAGAAATGTTTCCTAAGGAATTTTCCAGTCATTTATAGAGATAAAAATTGTGACTAGCAATGTGGTTATATCAAAAAGGCGGCACAGAGACAGACCTCTTTTCCACTCCAGTTCTTTCTCAGTCTGTCTTTAGAAATATGTTTTTTGCCCTTATGTAATATAAGAACACTACAGATAAATATGGGTGTTCTTAAGAAGAGTAAGAGGAGAAATAAAGAAAGTGCTTTTGAGGAAAGTATTTTATCAACTCCTTTGATATTCTAATTGTTTCTTTTTTTTTTTTTTAATTTATATGTTTTTCCTTCTTTGTGTGACTCAAGGGAAATATCTTTGTTAAAAAGCTGTGGAATAAATAAACTATAGCAAACATCAAAATAAAACTCTAAAGCTCTTTTTTTCAGGGATGAGGGGTCTGAAATTTTGGCAGGGGAGAAACACAGAAACATCTTTTTAAACTAATGATGATATCACAAAAAAGGACAAATTATAATGTTCTATTGATAATTGATGGTTATTTCTTGATTCTTCTATTATCAGGCCAGAACTCATAAAAGTAATAAGTGCCTGTTATTGTTAAAAGTAAATTGTTATTATATAACAAGTATTTTAACACTGTCTATTGCAACTTACAGCTCCTTAATTTTGTCTCTTTCATAGAAAGATATAATTAGTAAATAAATTATCTTTTCTACTGAAATATTACTTCAAAAACATTTATGAGCTGTGCTGTCTTTCCACGGAGGCTTGCACGGTGTAAATGTGCTGCAATTAAAACCTGATCTTTGATCTTTTGGTAGTTACAGTTTGGTTTGCTTTCAGCTGATTTTTGGGTTTTTTATGTTTGTTTGTTTGTTTGTTTGTTTGTTTCTTTCTTTCTTTCTTTCTTTCTTTGAAATGAGTGATGCTAATGTGAATTTTTACGGTGAAACTACTTGCACCCTAAAATGTGATTGGCTTTATGACCTTTTATTTCCTTCCTTAAAATTCTCCCTAAACCTTTAACTCCTCCTTTTGTGACCTCTTTGAATGCTTCTCCTCCCTCTGAGTGTTTTTAGAATCCTCTGAGGTGGAACAAACTGTTACCCGTCGCATTGATGTGTTCTGTGTTGCAATTCTTAATCTGGGCTTCTTGCTTTTGTTTTTGCTGATGTGAGTGCTGCTCACTCTGGGACTGCTGACATAAGAATTTGAGCCACAATTTGGCCTTAATCTGCCAGTAATTTAGCAGTAACTATGTTAGGCTGAATTCTGTCTTCTTGTACACCCCAGTGTTAATGCTTAAGTGACTGGAGTGGGATCAACAAATGTTAAGTGACTGGAGTGGGATCAACAAATGTTGTCAAAATTTGGAACATTATTAGTTATTTAGAAAGCACTGTATAAATTGATCTCCTAAAACAAACGGCAGCTTGCTAGGAGAGTTTCTAACAAGCTTAGGTGTATGGCTATCCCAGCGCATGCACTAAGAAATAACGTGCTCAGCACCACCCAGAGTGATATGTGGTCTTCTAATGAAGGCTCGTTGTGAAGATTCATTTTAGGACTAAAGTTGCATTTAAATAATGTGTTTGGTATCTTGTGAACTGGGCCTAAGGGTTTCCAAAGAGTTTAGCATAGACATTGTTGATGAGTCTGTCTACCAATGAAGGTACATGCACAATGTTTAATGGAGATTCTATTACTACTAACTAGGAAGACAAAATAAGCGTTCAATTGTGTGTCAAGTTTTCTTGATAATTGTTTATAAATCTGAACTGTAGTTCTTAAAGTCATAAAGTTCTGGATCGCAACATAAACCGTAAGAACTCCCAGCTTAAAAATCACCTTTTTAAAGTTATCTGGAAGGTTATGTATAATTTAGACTTCAGAGCCAATTAGTTTAATTTAGGAACTGAAAAAAACTTTAGATTTTATTGAAATCTCTTATGCTCACTATCAAGTTTTCTAGTGGAATTGGGGACTGATCACGTGAAACCTGCTAAGGCCAGTCTTCTACTTTCTCCTAAGTGTAATGACTTCAGTGACAGTTTTGCCTACAGGAGGCCTCCCAGATTGGGGCAAAGATTTGAAATGTATTCTGAACTTCAGATTCTGAAAGCATATCTTCTAATCATTGCATGTTGTTTATAGTGTACTGAGAAATTTTCTGATACTGTGAACATCCAATATGTAGAGTGCTTTTATGAATTCTATGGAGACATTATATGAATAACTCTTGCATTGACATGGGTATAAAAATGGGTTTCAGATGTCACTGTGTGCCAAATTTCCAAAAAAAGCTTCTATATCTTCATGTATAATTTCGAGTGTACAATCATTCTCATATGAAAAAGACAGAATTTGTATATACATTGGCAATCTATGCATGTAAATTGGCAGTTAGCATGCATAAATCCTGAACGAAGTTTTTCTTTCAATTAGACCCTTGTTAAATCCATAGTAACTCCATTAACCTCGGTGGAATTACTTTGGATTTAAAATGCAGTTAAATGAGAACTCCATTTGGCTACATTTCTTTTGAAACTATGGTCCAACTCGAATAGAGAGAACAGTTTTAAAATGAAGGTGGCACCTGTTTTCCTGATGTGTGAGAATATCTTTGATAATTATTCTTTTTTTTTTTTTTTTTTTTTTTAATAGATTCGTCCTGCATGGAAAAGCTACTTTCTAAAGACTGGAAGGAGAAGATGGAAAAATTAAACACAAGTGATCTACTTGGAGAAATTAAAGGTATCTCACTAGATCAAATTTTAAATTTTGCAGGTATTTTTAAAAAGGGACTGAGATTTTTCAAAGTTCACAAAAATAATAGAAATAACAATCAGAACTAGAGGGTGATTTCCAATTTCCAGTCAATTCACCCTGTTTTTTAATGCTTATCTTTGAGGTGATGGATGCATCTGCCAAATGAATAAATTAGAGTACATCACAATCAGTTATAGGAAGTATCAAGGATGTTATCACAAACACCAGTTTAGTTACATTAGTTCATTGACATTAGCTGTATATCCCTGTGACCAGAGAAAGAGGAAGAAACATCTTGAAAACATGGAGTTACTTGTACTTGGTACTGTTTCTTCCCTTTCACTGAACATGAAATTCAGTGTTATTGATTAAGCAAAAAATTAAAAAGGTGTTTTTTGTGCCGTGAGAAAGGGTCATAAGGCATTTTTGAGGAGTATACAAGGTACCTAAGATATATATCTTTTCATTATTGATTAAGCAAAAAATTAAAAAGGTGTTTTTTGTGCCGTGAGAAAGGGTCATAAGGCATTTTTGAGTATATAAGGTACCTAAGATATACATCTTTTCATTGGTATAATTTTATTAAATAGCAACTACAAATGTGTGGCAACAAAAAATCATGTGCATCATATGAATAAATCTTTACTAGTGTGAAAAAAAAAGGTACTGTCTGCTGAAAATTAATGCTTAGGATTTTTACATTTCTACCAGGGAAACTTAAGATAGTTCAAATTTATTATTACACAAACAGATGAAAGATTGGCCCTTTTTAACAAGTAAGTTATAATTGGTTCCTTCAGCTGATTCAGGACCAAAATCTGTTGGATTCTCCTGTTGGATTTTTTTGGTAGAATTATGACAATGCTTATATTTTAGGAAGGTAAGAAATCCTATAGTAATGTCAGTGGCAGAAATATAGTATGCAGTTTTACAGGAACATGTTAAAATTGAATGTAATAAAATCCAACAAAATTATGTTTTGAAAGCACATTCTATTTAAATCCGTATTGTTTCTTAATAGTGTGGAAAACACTGAATGCTAGTTTGTCCATTAATTGCAGAATATAGCTACTTAGTCTTTAAATAGGAACTACTCGAACGCTATTAGTGAATCAAAATTAAAGGCGGTGGGATCTCTAACAATGCAGAATAATGTTCTCTATTCTTTTATATGGCACAAAAAACTTTTTCATGAGCTTTCATTTATTAAAAAAGTTTGTTTTTCTGGATTTATGTTATTCCTTCTATTTCCTTCATGTACATATATTCACTGCAGAGTGAATGGGTAGAATTCTTGCTTCAAATCCTTTTCTCATCCACCTACAAAGCTTTCTCACTCAGATTTGGAAGAACTGTCAACTCATTCAACTACCTTTCCCGGGGGTATAGTCTATTAGCTGTATAAAAAGGATCACCTGATTAGGCTCACCAGATTTATGTGTGTCCATCATTCAGTTAGTTTCCACAACTAACTTCCTGCGTCTCATGCCTAGAAACCTATCCTTAAGCGGTCTTACCGTCCGCAGTATTCCTCTCCACTGCTAGCTGACTTCCAGCAAGACGCAATACTGAATCTTTGTTACTGCAACTGCTTTTAACATTTTTCATGAACAGGCAAAAGTACAAAAAAGCATGCACAATCATGGACGATAAAGGGTGGTTGCTGTTATGTCGTGTTTTATACTTAAAGACATTAGGGTAATTTTATAGAAGAAGAAAACAATGTGCAGAGTTACATAGCAGGAGTAGTGGCAGATCTGAAGTAGGACTCTTCCTTTGGGCTCCCAAGCCAGTGGCCTAGCTACCGTCTCCAGGCTGGTTAGCTCATAGCTGATAAAATTGCCATCAACCTGATAGCATGGTATCATATTAGCATTTGTGTGCCTTAAATAAGGTCAGAAAGAAAAAAACCCAAACCAACAATCTAGCCTATGGCATCATGAAAACCAGATTACAAGAAGGAAATAAGGCTAAGTAGGGGAACCAGAGCGATTTTAATCTGACAAAGAAGCATATTTAAAAAACAAAAAATATTTTCAGTGTTCAAGGTGGTAGATTTCCAAATCATGAAGTTCATTTCCATAATGCTGAATGAATTTCCAGTTAGGTAACTGGCAGGGCATGCTGAGGTCTGAAAGAACTACTTTGAAAATGTGTTGTCTTTGGGAGGTCAAATATATTTTTCCTTAATTTCCATTAAATTCTAAATCAATTTATATAACTGGCTGATATTTTTGGCTTTGTGCAGACTTTCTGCTCATGGTACCGAAAGCCTAACTTAAAGACATGAAGCAATGCAGTAAAAATAAATAAATGAGGTCATTAGGGAAAAAAATCTTGATTATAAGAAAGTGAGGTGTGGTCCTGTGAGGAACTGCTCTTTGCACTGGCTGTTACTGGGAGTTGTTTATTTTAGAGAGAAGGCGTTGTTCTTGCTAAGGATAACCTGAGCACATACTCTTCCTCTGTGTCTGCACAACTACAACCCTCCCCCCTTCAGTGAAAGACTAGCATCTTGGTTGTGGGAAGGCAGTTCGCTAAGAATCAGTGCCAGAAAAAAGGATGAAAGCAGAAAAAAAATGTACCACTGACACAAACTGTTTCTATTCATGTTTGGGAAGCACATAGACGAGAAGAAAAGATAATTGGCTGAGAGAAACAAATAAAAATGGTATTTTCTTGCTTTATCTTCTATATTTAGAACACAATAGGGTTAATCAAGATATAATTATAAACTGTATCTATTAATTCAAACAATAGAAACCAATACAAAAGTAACAAACAGTGAATAATTTTTTTTTCTCTAAGTGGGATTGTTCCTGTTCACAATTACTCTTGCATAGTGTGCTTCATTTGTAAAACTGCTTTTTCTGAGTTTCTTTCTTAGGGTTTCAGTTATTGATAATGGTCCAGATTCTTCCTTGAATTCCAGCCAAACAAGCCATTGACTTCAGGGAGGTTGCATGAAACTCAGAGGAGCATTTGGCAGAATGCTTTGTAGCCAAATTCCAGTGGTTAAATAAGTCTGCTTGTTCATTTGATATGTTTATAAATGAAGCACATAGGTCAAATTTTCAAAGGTCTATGAAGCAGTTGAGCTGAGTTAAATGACCTGCTCACCTGGAAAAAACCCCACAGCTGCCCATGCAAATCATTTGATTGTATGCTGTTTGCCAGTGTGTGCGTGCAAATACATGTATTTAAGGTATTACAAGCAATTTGTTAGGCTTACGTCCAGCTTTTGCATTGTTGGGTTTTTTGTGTAAAAATTAGGATCAGGAAATACTTTTCATTCTAATTTCTGTTATCATGTATTTGAATAAATAAAGTGGTGGAGGACTCTTTTCTAGATTTCCAGATACTTGGGTGCACAGAGTTCTGTCCTCACCCTCCCTCGCTGCATGTATTTCTGTTGCTTAGTTATCTAGTTTTTCTTCAGCAGCCACAGCTAGGCAGAGTAGCATCATTTATCACTATACAGAGTCTGTTTTAAGTTTTCTGTTTCTGTTCCAAATATAAATCTCTGGAATAGCATAGTCTTGCCTGCATCAGGCAGTTGTCCTACTGAAATATCCCGCAATGGTCTTTCTCAGCATGCAGGGTCTTTGAAGATCAAATAAGAAAGGTCAGTCTTTAAGTAACTTAAGCAATGATGTTATCATGAAAGGGTCAGAATTGGTCTAGCAGTCTTACAGAAGAGTTACTCCTGGGTCACCGGCTACTGTGTTGCAGGTTAGTTCTCTGGCTTCCACTGGTGGTGTTTACAACTGGAACTATCTATATTTATAGGCATTGTGACTTGAATGTCACATGCTGTCTTTGTACAGTATACTCTATTTTGGGACGCGTAGTGATTGATGTCCATGGCTTTATCCAACACAGAAGGCTGTTTGCATCATGTTTCCCATGCTTATTCCTTCCCCTTCTATATCTACTTTATTAAAAAGAGCCTAAACCTCCTATTTCCTGTGACGTATACATTTAATGGCCTCAAAATATTTGGATAGGTGGGAGGTAGCATGCCTGTTTCCTAGGAAATGTTGAATTTAGTAAAATGAAGCAACTTCACCCACTTGATAGTCTCCTTGCGAGATACACTATAACAAATATGGAAAATGATATTTGTCCCTGGTATTAGAATACAGGAGAGATGGAAAGAGGTGTTTTCTAGGAGCATTTTTCTGTGTGTGCATTAATGTCTGGAAGGGAACAGTGAGGCACAACTGTTTGAATCTAGTGATTTAACACTTTCCATTTTTGGAATAGTCTTGGAGAGAGTGCTGCATGAATGAATCCTTGAGAAAGTTATGGTTTATGTGTTTTTACAGTGAATTAAATTTTTTCTTAAAATATGCATGATTTACAAAACATTTTAAAATGCTATTTTTGCTTCCAATTTGTCTTCACAGATAAGCTTTTTGGTGTTTCTCTGTGCACTATATAAAATGTGAAGACCGTTTTGAGGAAAATAAAACTGATGTTTTCCTGTAGCCCTGACCAACACTGTAGTCTAGATTTGCAGTAATTATTTCTCAGTATAATTGCTGAAATTTCTTTCTCATGAATTCTAAGGGTATATAACAGTCTGCCTTATAAATATGTATAAATAAATATATATAAGTCTTATATCACAGAGGCACTCAGAGGTTTTTAATTATGTCACTTTGTATGGCTATAGACATTTCAAAGCTCTCCTTTGTGCTCTCTGTTATAAACATATTTTATTTCTTTTGAAGTCTGTGTGATATACATACTAGCAATTAAAAACCCAGCTCAGGCTTTGAGACACAAGGTCTTCTTAATTAAAACTCAAACAAAAGCTACAAGCAAAAGCCCCACTATATGATTAAGGTCTAAAGTGTTATGATACATTAGAATCATTGTTAACTGCTAGGATTTAAAAAATCAATACACAGGAAAAAGGATCAACTGGTTCCAATTAGTGAAACCAATGAAAGCATCCAAGAAAACATTAACAAAACAAT